TCAAGAATTGGCTGAAAGGGAGATTTCTCGTATGAAGGAGGTGTACGAGGCCAACTCTCGCCGCTTATGGAGCTTTCTAAAAAGCAGGTTTGTCGTGCTCGTAGAGAGGGCAAGAGAATGATTGTTGAAGAGATGGGGGCTCGCCGTGAGCAGTTTCCGATCCACTATTTGGAAGTTAAGGATGCGCAAAGAGCTGATGGTGATTATCGCGAGTGTCACGGTGTGGTTGGCAGTTTACACCTTTCTCAGGATGTGGACTTCTCGTTTGAGAGGGAATATGCCAAGCAAAAGGAGCGTTTGGATAGGAAGGGGAATAAACGAGCTGAAATCCTGGACATTGAAGCGCAAGTGTGAGAGCAGTGGGATCCCATTGTGGTTTCACCGGACACGGTCGAAGCTGATGCGAAAATCCCGGATGAGGGGGGCGAAGTTGATCAGCCAGGCGCTGATGCGGGTTTTGGCCAGTATTATTCGCCCAGCCTTTATAACTTCGACGATTAATGTCTTTATCGTTTATCGTAGTGTTTGTAATATCAACAAGTGGCAGCAAAGTACTACAACTCGAACGTACGAGGCCGTAGATTTCAAGAAGGCGAACTAGTCTTACAAAAAGTCTTTTCAAAACACCGCAGAACGAAATGCCGGAAAACTGAGAGCAAACTGGGAAAGACCATACAAGGTCATAAAGGTGGTACGGCCAGGAGCGTATGAAATCGTGAACATGCAGGACATAAAAATTCCCCGATCATGGAACACAATGAACCTCAAAAAATACTATCACTAGGCAACACACCCACAAAACACTGAACTACGAGACGGTTTGATACCTGCTAAAGGGTACATAGGCAGCTTTCTGCAAGGCGAGACCAGCTGTCCCCCTCGTTAAAAAAGGGTGGGGGTAGGTGAGTATACGTATACTCGTATACTCCCGAAATTTCAAACTCAAAATTTGTCGAACAATTTTCAACGACGCGGCAAAAATGAAAACGAAATTCCGAATTCAGCGAGACGTCGCCAATGTTCGGAAAACCGTCTTTTTAAATAAAAAATAGTCAATCCGCGACTATAAAACGTACAAAAGCTCTTAAGATACAAATCCTTCGCGAATGTCTAAGCAACGGTAACATCTACCACCTAAGTTTGTTGCTGATCACAAAAAACTCGCAACAGTTTTAAACAAACTTAAGTTATGTCGTTGAGATAGCTCTCATACACCCAACAAAAGGGTAATAGCGCTATAAAGAAATCCAAATTTTGACCAGCACCTTCGGGGATGCTCGATTCCGACCAGACAAGTCGTTTAAGCCGAGAACCTATCATGGACTTTAAATCGGTACGAAATCAGGTTAAAATCATAACAAGAAAAAAAGGCCGATTAGTCATCACAAAGCCTTAAAACCGAAAGTAAACCTAGGTCTTACCCTAAACCCAACACACTGGTCTCTAACGTCTCAAGGCATGGATTGAGATCCTAGAGGCATGTCTCTTCGTCTATATCTGAACGCTCACTCGATTCCTAAAACGAGCAAACGAACAAGGCGATCTACAAATGGAGTTAGAATGCGAGATGACAACTTGCGGACCTCCCTCTACATTCACACAAACAAAAGCATTCTTTTTAAAACAAAAGAAAATGTAAACTAGTTGTTCATTCATCGGAGTTGCAGGGATTCAAAGCCGTAACGGCCAGTCCCAAAATAAAAACACGGCTACACTCGGCCAAGACATAAAAACAAAAAATAAAAGTCTCACACCAGACTACAACTTTGAACATCCTCCGCGCACAGAGTCTCATCCTCGCCCATTACTTCATCAGAACTCGGTACCATACCATCACCTCTCTCATCAACCTCTAGAGCCTTGCTCTCGTCCATACTTGGATGAAGGGTGCACTCGGACCTCGGGCCAGCAAGAGCCGAATCAAAGTCACCCTCCGTCTCCATTAACTCCGCTTTGCGAGCAAGAAGTCTAGCTTCCTCCAATTCGGCAGAGACACCCTCCTTAACACCTTCAATCTCGCGGACCGTCGATCCCTCGATACTCTTAATCTTGCGTTGAAGTCTGAGCAACTCAGAAGCTTTAGCCTTCTTTACAAACTTTGCCTTGAGCAAGGAACTTGCAGTCTTTTCAAGATCCCGCTCCAAGTCACTGATCCTAGCCTCAAACTGAGACACCTCCGCAGAATGTGCATCCTCAATCACCTTCAACTTCCCTTCAAGCTGAGCGGACCTTTTCTGCGACTCAGCTAGTTCCTTTGCCCAACGCGCGACCTCAGTCCCGCATTCGTTAATCACTTCATCTATCAACGAGACAAACTGAGCGGCAAGATAGACGGCCAGACACCAAATAAAAGTGATAATAAAGATATGTTAAATGTGTACTCGCAAATCTATACCTTGGCTCAATTTTGCGACATCAGACCCGAGCTCAGCGTCTTGTCCGATGAGGGACCAGCCTCGGAATCTTTCGTACATCTCCTCTTCTTGGCCGCATCGGGGTTCGCGCAAGGTCTTTTGCGACCTTTGGCCGAAGAAGCCAACGTCGCACTGAGCGCCAGCAGCCCTAAAATGATCACTCTCTTGTCCGGAGGAAAAGGCTTCGAGAACAGGGCTGGTTAGAACTCAGTAGGAGTTGGGATGGCAGACAAACTCGATGGCTCGATGACAGTATTCGCCGCAGGCTCCGAAGCAACACTTGCCGACTTGTCCAAAACAACTTCAGATGTTTCCACAGGAACAGACAGATCTGTCGGATTCGAGAACCCGGCGAGCCTGCTGTAGAATTGGCGTTGACCAAGACATCATGGTTTTGTTGATCATCATTGGGGGAAGATATCTTGACAAGGAATTTCCTAGAGAGAAGTTGGAGGAAGTTTGAGAGGTTGAAGATATGTGAAGAAAGTAAGAAGTGATGATCCAATACTTATAGGAAAACAAGGAGGAGTCCATTTTCAGCAATAAGATAATCAACCTTCTTTTCCGCAATAAGAAAGAAGAGACGATCGCAGTAGATTCAGATTAACAACTGTACTCGCCCACAAGAACCTTCCTTAAACTTGCGAGCTGGGGGGGATAACTGTTAAAAAACGGTAACTTGAAATCAACTTCTACGATTACTTCTCTTCATATTGTCCGAAAGGATCTCGGATAGAAGAAAACGAGAAAAGATCAAAACCGAACAACCGTCCAGCTCGCCTGTTGGCAACCTAGACCAAACCGTCCATGCCCCTCGACTGGATCATACTCTGAAACGTGATCGGAACATCTCTCGTTTCGTCTCGATTCGTCTTATCGGTAGATTTTTACGATAAAACCGTAAAAGGTTTGTTTTCTTGTAAAACCTCGAGTAAATCGTATAAAACGGCAATGGTTAAACGAAACACTAGATATTGCCAAGCTATACGATTAACTCGAGATATTTTATAAAAAACCGCTAAAGACTTGTTTTCTCGTAAAACTTCGAGTAAATCGTATAAAACGGAAACAGTTAAATGAAATACTAGACATTGCCAAACTATACGATTAACTCAAGATGTTTTATAAAAACAGCATCGTATCATGGAACTATCTCGTCTAAAGTTGTAAAACGGCTAAATCGCAAAACAACTAGAAAAGTCCTAAAACGCGATAAAAGCCCACTCACTACTTTAGACAAGATCCATCCCAAAGATGCAATGACGGTTTACTCATTATTCGCAGGAATGGATAAATCATAGCTAATGCATCTAACAAAGTAAGTGCTTTCTATGTGAATTTAGTACTTCTTGCATTTGAAAAAAGAAGAAGAATATGATGTTATTGGTCTGAAGTCAATGTGCAAGAAGTAAGAACATATACTCTCTGTCTCTAAATTTAAGGAGACTGGATACTAAAATATTTAGTATATAGCCACGGGAGAGTCCTGAGATGTAAATCAGAAAAATTGCTTGAAATTACTTTGTTTAAGAACTTTGATCATAAATTTTACACTGTATAAGAGAGATCTGAACGCTTAGTGTATCAAACAAAATATCTGAATTTTTTTGTTTTCTCCACCAGGAAAAAAAAAACAGAGTTTGGTCTCAGGATCACAACCCCTCCAGCCTCAACAAATAATTCAAACGGTAAAAATCATTTTAGAATTCTCCTTTTGTAATATTTTATGAATTAGATATCAGTTGTACTAAAACATAAATGTTTTTTTTATATTCTTGCTTTTAAGTAGAACATGTTTTCTGTTTTCTAAGTAGAACATGTCTACTATTAAAATAATTAGTAAACATATAAAGTTAATATCAATATTAAAGTTAATGAATTAAAAATTAATAATTTTATAATATTATTAAAAATTTAATATTAATAATAAATTTAATGAATTGAAAATTAATAATTTTATAATATTATTAAAAAGTTAATATAAATAATAAAGTTAATTAATTAAAAGTTAATACTTTTATAATATTATTAAATAAATAAATAAATATGTGCACAAATATTTGTCAACAAAAAAAGAAAAAAAAGTATGTTTTACTTAATTTGATAAAGGTGGAAAAATAATTTCGAACTTATAACAAAATATAAATTTATATATTATTTTATTTGTATATTGATACATGTATATTTTTACAGCATTGAAAACTAAACTAATTTATGACTTTGAAACTATATAAAATTTAACTTGTTACTTTTAATATCTAAAATATATGTAAAATAGAAAGAATAAAAGCTAATTAAGTCTTAGTTATAATCCAATTCCTCATCTTTACCTATTTCAGTTTTCACTATATGAAAATATTCATCTTCAAGTTATTGTTCCATTAAGATTGGAAAAGAAAATGCCATAAAAGAAAAAAAACCTCTTCCAATTATCTTGGATATCTTTTGTTGTTCTCCAACTGTCACCCATATCTCCTGCCCAAGTTGCTGGATCCTCTTGTCCCCTGCATTTGCAACTCAGTTTCATCATCAGCCAAAAGTTTTCTGAAAGAAAATTCTATAACTTATCTTTTTGGTTTTTACGATTCACACAAAGATAAGAATATAGATTTTCCTGAGTTCATCAGAGCTTTGCTCATCTTTGGGTATATTTCTTTTGGACTTGTCCCTGTGTTAAAGCAGTTATCATACTTCAAGTAATCAAATCCCACGTGGCACCATCACAAAAAAGACCTTCAAGGTTTAGGATTTGAGCTCAAATAAAAAACTCGCACACATACGCATAACTACATACATACCCATGATGCAAATGTTTTAGCATATTGTTCCTCATGCCCAAGTGTTCCCAGCATGGTTTGGTTGCAGGTAAAAAATAAGATAAATTATCAACTATGCAAAATTCTCTTGTGTGTGCGTGTATATATATACCCAGCATCAAAGTAGATCGCAAATTTAAGCCCTTTGCTATGAACATAATCTGCTAAAGATTTGATCCCTGAAGGAAACATTGATGCTTTTGCAACCAAGTTTCCCTGTCAAATACATCAAAAATACATCTCAGTTTAGTTCTTGAATCATTAAACACATCTCGGTACTTAAAAACAAACAGAATCATCTTTTGGGTGTTTCTTTAAGCTTAACATCTCTCTTAAGTTCACCCCAATAATAATCTATAAAACACATAGAAAAAACAATACACAATAATAAGAAAACAGAGAAATGAGAAGAAAAAGAGTAAGAAAGACAAAAAAAAATCTTCTTTGTTTTCGTAGCTATGAAACGTACATGCTAAATGAGACACATGCAAAAGATATATATATATGTAATGGTGTTTAGCTGTACAATTTTTCTAATCACATAAACATTTCATTTTTACCATCAAAACTTAATCAAATATATTAAAAATATCACACATACTAAACACAATAGTTACTCAGTGGGAAAAATTCTTGGATTGTTGTTGTTGTTTTGAAGACCCGCAATGTTGCTTAGGATGATGTCTAAAACTTGTATGTCTCTAACACTCATGAATGAACACAAACTCCTTTATAACTCCTTTGTGAAAAAAAGAGAAGCAGAAGCAAATTTTAGAAAGATTCAAAAGTCTTTTACCATGTCCTGAAGTCTTTCATACATAACTTCTGGTCTGAAACTTAGTTGTTCCTGCCATAATTTTCAACATAATTTTAACTAAACCAGCTAAAATTCATATGAGATAAGTATTTATGAATATTGATTATGAGAACAGCTTACAGTTCCATAATGCCTTTGCTGAGTTATGGATTGTTCCTACAATGAGATATGATAAACTGATCTTCAGCAGTATACCCTTACCAAACACCAAAGAAGTTACATACATACCAGTGAGTGTATGTTTTGATGGGCAGTACAATATCCATTGCGGTTTGAGGCCATCGTGTTGATTTTTCCCTGTTGATCACAGAGGAGCTAACAAAGTTAGTTTGAAGTTTGGCCCTTTTTTATATTATGTAGCTGTAAATAACTTTTTGTACCATTTCATGTGAATTTTTTTGAGTGCTAAGGTAGTCGTCCAGAATCGAGTAAAGGTTTCTTTGTTCTTGCAAAGCTGTTTCTTTCCAGACTTCATATAATGACTCCTTTGACAAAGAGAAAGCAATGTTAGCCCAAAGACTTGTCTTATGAGCCAATAATTAGGAGATACCTGTCTTGTATCGGCCACATTAAATGAGTTGTTGTTGTTGTTATGTTCTTCATGTCTTGAAGAATTTTGAGATACATCAGAGTCTGACTCTTCAACACTGTGGATCACATTACTTGTCTTCTAATAGCTCTCTTCAGATAAAGATGTTCCTCACCGTTGAGCCTTACTTGAATAATCTCCACCGATCAGATAAGATTCAAGCGCTTCTCTGCTTCTTGCATCTCTTGTCCGAAGCTTCAACACATACTGAGAAGGGATAGTAAATTCTCCAGACATCTGCAGAACAATGATTGCATGTCTACAAATAAAACCATTCAACTCAAACAATCTAATGGCTACATTGTACAGATTTGTGAATTTCAACTAACAGTACAGTTTCAGCATAAATGATAAAGCTCAAACCGGGTTCTTGGAGAACAGTATCAGAAGTGCCTCCCGCAGTATCAGTGACCTCAGCAACATCCATAATAATCTATCTGCCTTTTTGAGGGCTGGGGCATCATTCATCATCTTCAGTGACACCACATAGCACTAAATGGATATATTATTCAGTTGATAAAAGATTAAACTTACAAACTCGCACAGTCCAATACATGATATACTGAACCCAACATCGTTAACATGAATCTAACAAATTTAGCCGAAACAAACCTAGTTATGACTTACATACCTGTTTTCTGATTTTTTTTCATCTGTGTGACTCAGGCGTTTATCTATAATTCGATTTGAGAAGGAAAAGAACATGAACATAATTCGATTTGAGAAGTTTAATATGTTACCTTGTGTTTGATTTGATTTAGTCGTGATCTTGCGAAGATTTCTTTTATTTTTGCTTATTCTGATCTCAAGTGACATTGCCATCGCTATCTCCTCTATCCGTTCATATTAGAGCTTGATTTTGAATTCGTGAGACGGAGTTATTCGATTTCTCGACGTGACATGTTAGTGAGGTGCAGGTCTAGAAGGATGTTTACTTTCTCTTTCTCTTTAAGGATGTTTGCCCCGGCGAGCTATGGGGAGCGAGGGTCACCACACAGAAGTGGGAGTCAGCGTTTCTCCTTCCAGATGAGGACCCGTTTGAAGACGATTGGCAAGGAGTGGAGGAGTTTCGGTTTCAGAATTTTGCGGAGTGTGGTCTCATGGATTGAGCTTACTTAGAGCAGGTTTTAGGGTTTTGGTTTGTAGCAAGCTAAGGATTGATTGATTGTAGAGGACTGGTAACAGAGATTGGAAGAAGATGAAACTTGAAGAAGATGATGCGTTTGGTGATTTACGGAAGTAGGACCGGGAGTTGGGTTTGACTTGGGGTGGGGGCACATGGATTAGGTTAAGCCCAACATATTTCGGCCCAATTGTAATTGTATGCTGCTGACGTGGACAAACGAAAAATCCTGATTGGCTGATTTTTTAAGTGATGTGGACAGCCTATATGGGGCTCATATCTCCCTTTTAGCATTGTATGATTTGATAGATTAAAAAAAAAGATATGATAATAATTAGTGAGGTTTGTTTTAGTTGAACTGTTATAACTTTTTATAGTCCACAACATAGTTTTTGTTTTAATAGTATTGCTAACTGTTTTTTTTTAAGAATTGTGTTTCTGTTTTTTTTTTTCAAAAATAAAATTGTGCTTCCACAGCACTTTCTTAATCTTCCAAAAGGATAAAATTGGGTTACAAAGTTTTAGAATAAATTTTATTGAATGACTTAATCCTGTAAATTCCAAAAGAATTATTATTTGAATAGGAAAAAAATCTCTTTCCAATGATTCAAGAATGTATGGAAACAAAATAAATATACTTATAAAATATTAATGATTAAAAAGGCTCATGAATGAGATGGAATGATATACCGTAATTTTCATTAATAGTTATATAAATGGTTTATGGAAAGAATACGATAAATTTTCAATACTAGTTTTCCTTTTTCGAGAGAGGCAAATAGTAAGACTATAGGTAAGTGAGTATCCGACAGAACCTATCGATCTTTATATGCTGAATGTGAAAATTTAATCTGGACAGTGGAGTATATGATATCAGAGATGATCAACAGATTATTCTCAATTGGTGAAGATGATGTCTGGATCGATGGAATAGCCAACTTTAGTTTCACATCTCTTTGGAAGAAATTAAACGATGTAAGAAGTTTTTTCGTCAATTCTCTCTCCAACATAGTCCAAGAGCAGAAACTACAATGGTCGATAAACTTGTACGAGGTGCTCCAGGTTCTATTTCAGTTGTATAATATTTTGATTTTTCTACTCTAGTTTGGGTCTCCGAATAGGTATCCTTCATAATTAAGTTTTTAGTGTCAATTGTTGTAAAAAAAAATTCTCTTATTCTATTAATTTGAATTCCATTTTTAGTTTCATTCATTCTTAATATTCATAAAATTGCTTCCAAAGAAATTCCAAAATGGTGATATATATGTTTGGATGAAGCATTTTTCATGCAACTTTGGATATAACTTGTTGAATCCGAGTTTGTTCGATCGATAGAAAAGAAAGCTAAACTCGATCTGTGGATCTTAAGAAGACATTTTATTAATCAATATGCGATGACGGACGTGATTACATGAAGGTTAAGAGGAATGGAAAGGTTGGAGCTTTTATGAAAGCGCCAACGAGAATACAAGGGAGTTCGATCAATTGATAAACCCTAGATCTTGCCGTCAGTATTTTTGTGTTTAATTTCGGATCCCCTTTCTCTCTCCCCTCTGTCGTCCTTTTATACTTCCCCGTTCGTTCCTGTCTCGTTCGCCCTAAAGCTCGTTTGAAAGGCCCATAAATCGATCTCGTGCTTAATGAGCTTTTAGGCTAGCGACAATCCGTAGAACTGGGTTCGACTCGACTAGTTGGCCAGTTATTGAAGTAAACCGGTCGTTCGAACTTTCGGTTTGCTCTCTCTTTCAATCGAACTGTCCTCAAATGGGCTGAAGCCTGTTGTTCGATGTCCCTTGTAGAGGGGTGTTCAATCCCTCTCCAACAGTAAGCCCCCTAGTTCGCTTGCAGGGAACTCGATTTCTTGGAAGCGGAATATGAAAGGGTTGCTTCGAGAATAGCAGGCTTAAGTCACCTCTGTTTATGGTTGAACGGTTGTTGCATTTTCTCTTGAATTCCTGTAATTTATCTCGGTCGACCGGACATGTATATATGTGTCTCCATGCGTTCGACCGGTCGCTCCTTAAGCCAAATCGTCGTTGGCTTGACCCGGATCGGTCTCACCTCGTTTTATTTTCAAACGAAAGAGTGACCATTTCGGCGGGAAAATAATGGGTATTTAGGTCCATTAGGTTTAATGATTTTCCTGACCTCGATCTCCGTGAGCTCTCTTATAAATACAATGTTCTTCTCTCATTTCTTTTATTCTTCTCCATCCCTAAGGTAATTTTCTTTCTCCTCTCTCTCTTTCTCCACTACTCTCTCTTTTTTTTTTTTTTATATCGGACCTTCACTCGTCGCCGGAGCTAATTCCGTTCTGATCTGCCGCCTTTTCCCTCTTGAGAGAGATCTGGTGACTCGATTTGGCCGGCCGATCGATGAGTACTTCCAAGAAAAGGTTAACTTCAGCTGAGAAGGGTAAGGGAGTCCGATCTACTCCGAGTCCGTCGGGGAAGCTGTTGCTCGGCTCAAAGCTCCAGAGCTCGGCAACCGGAGCTCCTCGTGGCATCTCGAATGATGACGCTCGCCCGGACTTCGGTCGGGTGGATAGTGGTGGTGGCTTTGCTCGGGAAGATTGGAGCGGCCAATGTCTAGCCGACGATGTAGAGATGGCTGAATCAGAAGATCTGGAGGACGATTCGTCGGTGGGGAGTGAGATCTAGTGATCTCTGGTTTACGCTGATGAAGCCAAGAGTTCTTCGGACGCCGCGGGAGGTTCCACGTTGGGAGATTTAGAAGGCGACGTCGCTGCGGGGAATGAGATCGATCGGTCTCCTGTCGGAGTCGATGAAGCTGAGAGGTCTCCGGCTGTCGCGGGTGATTCCTTGATGGGAGGTGAGATCGAGCGGCACACAGCCAAATCTGGTAAAGTCGAGCCATCTCGAATTGGATCTGTGACGATTCGGCGATCCATTCCCTTCTATTACCATAGGAACGGGGTGACTGAACAGCTGCCATATATTCCTTTAGGTCAGATTCAACCGTCCAAAATAAAGGGACAGCATTGGGCCGACGTGTCGCCAACGTGTCGCCAACGTGGTCCACCGAGGAAGGGGTTGCTTCGTTGCTGAGGGGGCACAAGGCATATGGTGTTACGTTCATTATCCCGCGTTCCGACCAACGACCGTGGAAGGGGTTGCTTCGTTTATGAGTCCTTCTTTGAAAGGGATTCCAAGTTATGGTTTCCTATCCCTTGTTTGGTCACTTCGTATTGTGCGCGTTGGGCCGTTCCTATGTCTCAGTTGATGAATGGGGTAATGAGAATTGTTGTTGCTCTGATGGTGATGGCGGCTGAAGTGGATGTTTCAATGAGCGTTTGGATCTTTGAGGAGTTGACGCAAATCCAGCCGAAGCCGTGTGGCTTATATGCACTGCAGATGCATGCGGGGTTACACATCTTGTCCGGCAATCCCACAAAGACTAAGTTTTGGAAGCGCTCCTACTTCTACATAGAATCTGACGAAGCTGCTTTTGAAGAACCGCCGGATGATCGTTTTCGTACTTCATGGAACTACCATATCGGTAGTTTAACGTCTTTAGGGTCGGAGATTTGGTTGTTGGATTTTGCTTCTGATAGTATGTCTCTCTTTTTTTTGTTTTGGCAGTTCCTCATATCAATTCTATTGATTATCCCGAGCGATTTTGGGAGGGCTTCACAAGGGTTGCTGCGCTTAGCCAGAGTGAGTGGGAAGACTTCGACCGGAGAAGGATTCGTCGGCAGCGCGATCGAGTTTCACGAGGTAGCCTCTTATCCTCATCCCTTTCCTTTCTCCGTTCTTACATTTCCTTTTTTTTTTTATTTATTTTAAATGTATACCATAGGATTTTGATGGAGATCGATCGATCGGTTTATGCGGTTAGTCTGATGGCTTGTCTTTTTGTTTTCAGTTGATTGGGTGTCTGATATTCCTTGCGAGGACCTTAAAGGCAAAACATTACCACTTCCACTGATGGGAAAAATCCTGCGAGTGTACCCAAACTCTAGCGAGATTCTGGACACCCAACTGGGTGACGAGAATTTCGACCCTGCTGCCGCATTGGAGGCGGAAAACGAGAAGGCTGGGGGTTCGCTTGGCAAAGGAGTAAATCTTCCGGCAGAAGACTTAGTGATATACCATGGTTTTGACCCACTTTTACCCATGGTATATATATGTTTTGGAGTCTATTAGGTATGTTTTCAGGTTCAAGAGCATTTTGGAGTAAAGTGATGATTTAGGTGCCCTTATGGAGTTTAAAGGAGAGTTTTCCGAGATGACTATGAAGATCAGACAATAAGGTCGATATCCACATATACATATCGATCGGTA